ACATAACCCCTAATGCTAGCTTGGCGCTTGAGCGACGATTTTATTCGGCCAGAATCCTAATTCAATTTTAACACCGTTTTCGTATCCTACTTCACCCTAAACACTTCTTATTATAAATATCCAAGCCTAGATTGTCCCAAATGTGTGTTAAATCATTCTATTACCTTAGAGATTATATTAATGATTCAAAAATATATTTTTTGATTCTTAGATTCAACAAAATATTCATAGTTTCACATATATTGATTCCAAACGTTGTTTGGTTGAGCTTTGAATTAAGTCACGAGAATACACTTTGAAGATTATATCCATATTCCAATATATCTTGCCTCAACTTTAGATCAATACATAAAAGATCATTTGATCAAACACCATAACAAAACCCTACCTTCGTCAATTGGCCTTCGAAGTTCTAGAGTTTTGGAAAGAGGCGCTTAGAGTTCCTTCGCTCGCGAATGAGCTCTGTTCTTGTTGATCAACACAGAGAGAAAAGCAGTTCATATTTTCGAGAAGTACAGGATGTAAAATCGAAGAAGTTCCTAGATGATTTACAAGTTAGGTAGCCAGAGTCAGCTAAAGTTTAACAGTGTTTGGACTAATTGTAAGTTAATTTTTCTAGTGAATTTTATTGAAAAGTTTGCCCATAGATTTTCTTTATGTAGTTAGCCCATGATCATATTTGGTGTTATTTACTTTCTATTGCTTTTTATCTGAATATTTATGATTGTTTAAACATAGAAATCAATTGAATTAATTACCTTAATCATCTAAAAATAATTAATAAGTGACTTGTTACTTTTAATTGATTTTATTTCCACATTTGGGTCTAAGCTGTTCGGTAAATTTAAACTTTCAATAATTTTTCTAATCTTATTCAATATAACATATATCCCCTGTTTTATAGAAGTTATAATTAATATTTTTATCAAAATCAAAGTTAACAATTAATTTTAACCACATATTTTCTGAGATCCACAACTTTCAATCACACATTTTATTAACTTTTATTAAAATCTACTAAAAATCTAATTTTAATTTCCACCAAGGACATAATCTCAAAACCCATCCCCACCAACAAGACATTGAATGAAACAAATATATGGGTTTTCATTCGAAAATGGAAGACACGTATTGAACCGAAAACGAGAAAAATATATGTTCGTGGGACAATAGGGTTGATTTTGGAAGTAAGGTTTTTGTCGTCCAATTTTGGAGATTGTCGAGCTGGAGCGGGAGTTGTAAATGGAGGAGATAATTGTGTTTATGAAGAAGTGTGTTTTACATTTAACCAGAATTTTTCAAAAACACGTTTTGCATCGCTTGCATCCACATGTGCACATTTAACTCCATCAACAGTCACATCGGATGCAGTCTAGCCATTTAAGCTATTCTTCAAACGTCAAAAGCAAAAAAAATAAAAATAAAAATAAAAATATAAAACCTGTTAAAGTTGTATGTCTTGAGATGAGCCATTTGAATTTAAAGGTTCCTTTCCACATGGACAAATTTCATTTCAACCACTGGGTTTACAATGTCTCCATTTGATTCAATTAAAATTTAATTGTAACTATATATTTAATGAAATTCATAACTTTTGAACCACATATTTCATCAAATTTTATCAAAATTTGACTTTTATATAAACCAAAAATGGGCAATGGGTGAATGGATCCATTTGGAATGTTATGAAAAAAACGGGGGTATGTAGTTCAACAAGTTGTAATTGAAGGATTGAATCAGACCGGTTAATTCACATTTGTCGAAATGGTGGTAGCTTGTTTCGAAAAATTTAATTATAATCACTTTTGCTTAAATATACTTTTTTTTTATTCATATCTATTTTATAATTCACTACTTAAATTATGCCCTCGTTGGTTTTGATTTATAAAAAAAAAAAAGAAAAAAAAAAGAGAGGAAGCTACTATTTACACACTAGGGCTGCAACAAAAAAAAAATAAATAAATAAATCGCGAAACCACAAACCAAACAAAAATCATTGGTTCGAGTTCATGTGGACCCGCGATTTTTTCCCTCAAACCAAACCAAAAACTGTTTTAATCCATACTATTTTTATATATCTATCCCATCATAATTCCTTCAGCCCTTTCATGTGTATATATATATATATAGACACACACACATACATTCACAGTCTATGGCTGCACAAAAAAATAAAAAAATCACGAAACCGTAAACCTAACCAAAATCGTTGGTTAGGGTCCACGTGAACCTGTGATTTTTTCCCCTCAAATCGAACCAAATTGTTTCAAAATAATTTAGTTAGGTTTTGATTTTCAAAAATCGTAGAAAATCGAACGAAACCATTATTTTAATTTTTTTATTAAAAATTTAATTTTATTAACTTATAAATTTTATAGTTCTCACTTTTCAGAAAAATACCAATTTAATAATACAATTTACAACGAACCCATTGAAATAATCATATAAAGTAAACTAGATTCACTATTATTCGCCCATGGTTTTACAAGTCAATAATATAAGTCCTGATCAGATATCTAAACTAAACTAATACTATTCTTAAATTATATGAAATGAACATGAAAAGCATATGTTTTCAACAATCCAAACCATAATTTGATAAAACTTTAGCAAAAAATCACGCCCAAAAACTTCAGAAGTCCTAGCGTAAACTGTCATTTCTCAAACATTTTATGCTTGCCTGTCACTATTGAACAAAAAGTGATTCCCAATCGCAAATCTCCAGTCGAATTTTATCTATTAGTCTGGTAATTTCTATCTGAGTCGCCTCTTTCTCCGTTCTTTCCCGATAAATCTCAAATTCTCATTCAAGCCAATTTTTTTCATTGTTTTTTCTCTTATTTATTATTTTTGAACTTATTATACATTTGTGAATTGGGGTTTGAATAGAAAAATGATTGTTTGTGTACTTAGGTTATTAATAAACTTGTTTGTGGTTTTAAAAGAACAAAAGACAGAGCGTATTGACTATATGAAAATGTTAAAGTCCCATAATTAGTACTACTAGTTCTACTTTCTTAAAGTAGTTAGAGAATAAAATTTGTCAATTCCCAATAAATCTGAACTCTATTAGTTGTACATCTAAACATATCTTGTTCAGTCCCTATTTTTTAATTCATCAGCAAGATGAAATGAGTTTTAACCAAACTATAACAACAAAAATGTGACCGACTTTACCAATCGCTATGTAACAATATGAAAAGCAAACAAGAAAAAGTAAATAAATAGGAAGAAAGATGTATTAGTTTCATTAATATTTTTTAGAGACGTTGAAAATAATTTATTCATGGATTTCATGGAAAATATGAATTTAATTTAACATTTAATATCATTAGTTCTCGTTTAAACTTATGTGTTAACATGTTTTAAATATATTACTATAATGTCGACAGGTAAACCGCGGATTAAAATCGAACCAAATTGTAAATTATGGTTTGATTTCGTTTAGTTCGAAATATAAAATGGTTTGATTTGGTTTGATTTGAAAAAATTCCAAATCGCATGAAATGATTTTAGTTGAAAATATGTCACAAACCATCCAAATCAAACTAATTTCATCCCTCATCAGCACCAATCCTTTCATATTTTCAATTATTGTCATTGATATACATTTTCAAATTTCTTTACCTGTTTCGATAATTCCAACAAAAAATTCAAAAAATTCGAAATGAAATTTCTTATTGATACTACTAAAATTCGAAAGGCATATTATCAAATAACTCAAAAACAAATAAAAAATCATTTACATACTAAACTCATTAAACTCACAACAAAAGGCAATTCTTACTTTCTCAAATTCTTCATATGTTGCTAATTTGCATGTCTGTATGTATCAGTGTTTTGAAAATTGATCCGATCATCGATCCGAAAAAGGTGAAGGGTCAAAAGATTCAACTATGGTCTAGCTGGGATCAAAACGGATGCTATAAATACATACAAAATAATATGAAAACAATAATTTTTAAAAAAAAATCATATTAATAATTTTTTAATTAGATTCATTATCCTACAATTAGTCTCATATTAATAATTTTTTAATTAGATTCATTATCCTACAATTAGTCTTGATACTTCAAAAATTAAAAATCAATGTGTTAAAATAGTTTGCATTGTTAAGTTAAAATAGTTGAAATTTATAGAAAATGATATGTAACATTAATTTATTAATAATCGAGTGCAATTTAAGTTTAATTTGAAAATTAAATAAATGAAAAGATGAAGGTGGATATTACAATTTAGTTAGTTGGAATTCAAAATCAAATTAGTTAATTAGACGTACATTTGAAAAATGATTTTGATAGTCATTTTAACATTCTTTGTTATGTCACGATTTGTCATTGAAAGTTTATAAAACCATTAGAGAGAAGTGCATTTAAAAAATGCACTATCTCATATTGAAAGTTTATGGAATCATTGGAGAGAAGTGCATTTATAAAATACAGTATCCCCCATTAAAAGATTATAAAACCATTCGAGAGAGATGCACCTATAAAATGAGCATGTCATCCAATATTTTTTTTAGGGCCTTTGAATTATAGTTTATGAGGTCCATTCATGAAGTTAAATTTTTTTAAACAACACCACAAAAAAAAAAAAAAAAAAAAGGAAAAAACCATAATCGATTCACCAGTTTACGGTTGAACTGACCGATTTGATGGATTTTTAAGCGATTTAATTATAATCGATTAACCGGGCATGATTGGCCCGATTTTGGACTTCCCAATTTTACCAGCCAAATTGGTTGGACCGGGCCAATTTTGACAACATCGATATGTATTTACTTTAACATGATATGTCCTCTTTTTAGTTGAAGAGGGTACTTTATGAATATTAGGATTTTATAAAAAGGTTTAAAAGAATTTAATAAAAATAAATACAATTGGTGAATTTGGAGTGATATATTTTTATCTAATTTTATATATAAATTTATTCAATGTTAAAAATATAATATAATATAATTTTCTATTGAAAAATGAATATATAACACAACGTCGACGTCCAAACAGACGCCCAATGTTTCGCCGATCGGTGATGACGCATTTATCTGTTTTCCAATTCCAATTCCAATTCCAATTCCAATCTCTTTCTCTTTCTAGACTGCGGTATCAGTTCCAGCTCCCAATTCCCTCAATTCATTCAAAACCCTCGAATCATCTCCAATCCAAATCCCAATGTGTTCATTGATTATGCTCCGTGGAATTCCCAAATATTGTTGAATATCAGGTCAGTCCAGATTAAGCACCTTCAATCATTTCATCTGTGTTATTTCGCTCATGATTAAACCATTGAATTTTATTTCTCGTTTTTATCGTATAAGAATTCTGCCCAAAATTGTAATGCTTGACGGACGATCTTCTTTATGAAATTCCTTTAATTTGCTGACTGATGCAGAATTAATGACCGCGTCTCACTTCAAGTTAATGCCACACAAAGCCTTGTTATCCAGGAAAAAAAAATGTAATAAAGAGGAATTCTGTTTTCCCACTGTTTTATTTAGTTATTACTTGAATGGAATTGGTTGGCCGGAGTTCAACTCTTCATGTGGTACCACTGAATTCTTCCAGTGGATTTAAATATAGGTTGGAACTAAAATTTCATTGTGATTATGGGCACGTAAGATAACTTTTATAACTGAAATAATTTTTGCGAGCAGGTGGTCCACTTTTTATTTAGGATTGAATGCAATACTTTATATGCCAGCCTGACTCATGGCTACAACGAAATTACACTGATATTGATATAATTAATCAAATGGAAAGTCAGTCTTGGTCACCACACTTCACATGTAATATTATATTCACCGGCTGAATTGAAGTGATATATGGTTGCATATCCTTGGGATTCTAGTATATATAAATTTGCATATACAAAGAGATAAGTGATGGGGTGACAGCGAACAAAGATTGAGACCCTACTTCAATTAGGTAGGATACCATTACAAGTTCAAGAAAGTAGACAATAACCATCAACGTCGAAGTCAAGAAAAAAACTTCAAATAAAAAGTAATATTGCTAACAGTTTTTGTCCTACAGAACATATCTAATTCATTGGAAGTGACAGTTTTGACAAAAGACGGGTTTCATTTTAGACCAAGATAAATATTATAGATTTTCGTCATTTTCAATTTGTTTCGCTATATTGACACAAAACCCCATTTTTTTAAGATTCTCCTCATTTGATATTATTGTTATTTTCAGCAGAATGATGGCTTCTTGCAGCTGTCTCCACTGTCTAATTTAAGAACTATATTCTATGTGAATGATCTAAGACAATGACCAGTGGCGGATTTAAGGGTTGGCCAGCTAGGGCGGTTGCCCTAGCTTGATTTGCCGGTGAGAATTTTTTTTTTTGGTCGATAATAGATAAAAATTTTAGATTATATAACTGATAGTTCATTTTATTTTCAAATTCCTCTTCTGCTTAGTTGGTTAGAGCTTACATTTTTCTATTACAAGTCTTGGGTTCGATTCCTTCCCGTCCATTTTCATTGTGCAAAATTTTTATTTCTACAATATTTACCAAAATTAATTCCTTAATGTCGAACCTATAACTTCTAATTTGAATGATTGGAAGCTTAACCATCATGGTAATTGTTGAATTTTGATTTTAAATTTAGCAAAATAATATATGTTAAGACTAGGGGAGTCAATGACTATTTTTTTTTTTTGGTTGGTTTTTTTCGTTTCAAATATTTTATTCTTTAATAATTTATAAGATATGACTTATGAGTATTGAGTTTTAATTTATATGTTATTTGAGAATTTGAAAATTTGTTTACTATGAATTATGATATTAAAAATTAATTTAAGTATCGTGAAATGTGAATATGTGATTTATGAAAATTAAAAATGAGAAATTGGGGAATTTATAATTTGCGATGAATTGGTGTAGAGAATCGAAAATTAAAACTTTAATTATATTTTAAAATTAATTTTAATTACATTTAATGTTTGATTAACGTTCAATTCTCATACTGATTATGGAATGATTTTTTCAACTAAATCTCGATCTAGTTCTTGTAGTTGTGTGTCTAATCTCTCAACTACTTTTAGTCAAGCAAACGATCTGCTAAGTATTGATAACACAAAGAAATTTTATGTATTATGTAATTTATATTATTTCGGATTGTATTGAAATATAATAAAATATAAATATACGATTTTTACATTTTAGTGTATTTACATATAGATTAAAGAAATTTTAATATTATTTTATTTAATATTAATAAATGATATCGCTATACGACCGTTGACTATCGATAGTCAACAACCAATGATCAATGGCTACCCTAACTGAGTTGAAGTCCTGGATTCGCCCCTGACAATGGCAAGAGATTATACCATTCTGGAATTACCACTGAAATGTTAGTTTGACGAGTAGTGCATGGACTTCTTTCCTTTCTTCTGCTAAGCCATAGAATTCCTGGATTGAAATGCAATTCTCTGCATTCAATGAAGTGAGCATAAATTTAATCTGCTGGCTAGAGATGGTATGCTTTTAAAATGTGGCTACTGGCTTCACTGAAATACTATTTGAGGATCATTTTCTGTTGCAAGATAGATTGATAGTGCATCCAAGATGGGGCATACCAAGCATTAGACTTTCCTACAACAGCTAATAAGTACTGAGCTATTTTTAGAATTTATTAAAAAATATCAAAGTGTTTTTAGGCCCTCATATATAACTCTAATATCTCCTGAAGGGAGGGTTAAAGTTACTTTCCACTGTTTAGTATAAGCTTGTAATTAGCATCTCGCCTTCTAAACTGTCTCTGAAACTAACGGAGGAAATCTTGATCTGATCTTCTAACTTCTTATGCAGGTTTTTTAATCTTTGTTGAGATGGTCTGTGGAAATAGTAGCTTTGGATATGATTGTTGCAATTTAATTTGCATTCAAAATTTTTAGCCATGCAATTAGTACCGAATGATATTCGGACAGACGATATTTCAGAAACAGAGCCCATTTTGTCGCAGCCTAGTAGAGTTGAGAGATCAGAGGAATCTTCATCCTCAATTGAAATAACTGTGAGTGGCGATTGTTCTATATCTGCTGATGACCTTCCCAGTCCTGATGTTCATGAAAATTACTCTCTGGTGCAAACAGACCAACAACAATGCCGTATATGCCTTGATACTGAAGGTGCTTATTCATTATTTACGTTTTCTTTTAGCTAATGAGTTGCCTAGTCACCAGAATGAGTAAGGACAAGAAGTCTTTATATTTCTGCTAGAAAGATGTTTACTGTGGTATGGATGAGTTTTTGATAAGTTGACAATTTATTCTCCCGTTCAAGAAACTAGCAATTCTATTGTCTTCTTATTGAATTTTTCATAATTATATTCAGGAGAAGATTTGATTGCACCGTGCCATTGTAAAGGCACCCAAAAGTTTGTCCACAGATCATGTCTAGATAATTGGAGGTCAACAAAGGTAAAATTGTATTCTTTTCATCAGTCTCAACTTTTCTGATCTCTTATACCTTAGAAACTTTGCTGATGCTTTCTCTTAAATTGTAAGTCTAAAATTTAGGAGAAAATGTTTCCAGGTTTACAAGAAAATCCTACCACCTGAAATGCAACTTTATGCTTTTATCAAAATGTTTGGCCTATATCATAATGTAGCTGTATGCTTTCGAATTATTTGGTCCATATCATATTTCATTTTGTTATGCTGGCTGCTTGCTGGTTGCTGGTACCCAAGATGCATCTTACCTATTATCATGAATTTGATACATGTAAAATAGAATCAGTAAATTAGCAAATAAAGAATAAAGAATAAGAATGCTTTTATTGACGACCCCACATGATCTTTATGCCAACAACTGGATTATCCAATCCTTGATTGGAGTAAATTTATATTAATTTCACTATCTGTAATTTTATATGGAATAACACCTATGTTCTTGTTGTTTGTAGCATCCTCATGGGTTTTTAACTATCTATTTCTTTCCCCATTTTCTTTTTGGACGGGAGTAGAACCACAAAAGGCACTACTATTCAGAAACTCAGTTTATGGTGCTTGTTGGCTGATTGTAATATATCTTGGAAATGTCATCAAATATTGTTCATATCAATTGCTTTGACAGTTTAACTGGACTTGCTAAGAAAGTTCATTAGCTGGATTTCCTCGAATGTAGACGATTCCACATAATATAATTGAAATCTTTTCTGTAGTTTTGTCCTTTTCACTAACATATTGTATTAACTAAAGAAAATTTTTCATTTTGTATTTTTACCCAGCCCAGCCACAGTTTCTCCTGTCTGCAGTATTTTTATTCATTATTTGTGTTTTTCTGCCTTCCACCATTCAGGAGGGCTTTGCTTTTGCTCACTGTACAGAATGCAGGGCAATGTTTATATTGCGTGCAAATGTCCCCCCTGACCGTTGGTGGCTGAGGTTAAAATTTCAATTTCTTGTTGCAAGGGACCATGCAGTCATTTTTGTTGTTGTTCAGCTGGTATGAAATGCTTCCATTAGGCTGCAGTTTTCGTCAAAATATTATATTATGGTTAGTGCTGTAATTACTGAACCGATCACTGAATCAAACTATGTATCCTGTTAAATACAAAGATGACAGGACAGAGATCTGTCTCTTATATCTATTTTTTGTTATTATATTTGTTAGTTTATCATCTGTAGTGTCTAAACTTTGCTCTTATACTGGCCTATTTGATTTCAAACCTAGCTTATTCTCAGCTGTTGTTTATACTTTAAGGCAGCCATTCTACTTGCTACTAAATAATTATCCACGAGGCGTTTAATTGTATGTTGTGGCATCCATCCATTATAAGGTCACATGTATGGTTTCCATTTAGCCCCTGTTTGAGCCCCATTTTGGTAAGAAATTTTATTTCGGAATATAGATTTTTTGGAGAAGGTATGATTAAAAAAGAAGAAAAAGTTCTCTATTTATGTGTAAAATTATTTGTTAGGAGAATACGTGGTTGAAAATGAGTTTTTGTAAAAATGGGGGCCAAACATAGGCATAGTCTCTCCACTTTGTATAAATTTTTGTGGAGCTCCAAGTGGCGCAGCCTGTAATGTAGCGATGGGAGTCACTACAGATTATAGACCAAGGCTGACTTTATATAACTAAGGGAACTATTTCATCGTCGATTGTTTGTTCGACATATGGAGGTTTCCCATTGTGAATCTTTTATTTCCCCCTTATTCCACTTTAATAATATCTGTTATTCCCTGTTTTCTTCTGATTGTCCAACCTCCTAGAATTTTCCAGATTACTTTTCCTATATACACAAAAGCAATCAGATTATTGCCCGAGTGGGATGACCAGTTAATGCTGTAACTGTTCTGCAAAAGGGTTTCTAAGAGAGTCAGGCAGGTTGTTACCTTGTCATAATAACTCGTCACAAGTCAATTAGTAGGCTTAGATTTTTCAAAAGTTATAACAACCCTCTGGTATCAGACTAATACTGAGCTATTGTACATTACATCTAAATGCCTTGCAGTTTCTTCCTTTTTCTTTAATACCACCATAAAAGTAATCAACAATACGCCTATATTCCCTTATTATGGTAAACATCTCTGGCTCTTAGATATTCGCACTGGAAATTGGAATGGGAGATCTCTCATAATTTAAGTTTGCGATACTTGTCTTGATTTGACAATGCTTTAATTATCTACATGGACTAGATGTGCTTCAACACTTTCAGAGCCGACTGAATTATTGAATATGTCATTAGCTTCAGTAAACTTACTAAAAATCCGAGACTCTGATTTCAGTAAACTCACTAAAAATCCGAGACTCTGACCCTGGTTTTTAATAACTTAATCCCCCTGGTTTTTAATAACTTAATCTACTGTTAACATTGTATCTTGCATCACTTGCTCATGAAATTTATTTAAACATGTCCCTCAATTCTGCGAAGGCTGATAAATTCTAATTTCTTGACACATTGGAAATACAAGTATGGTCGGCTGGAGAACTTTACTTAATTGTAGAAATAATAGGTAGGGTTAGAAAAAAGAAGGTAATCATCCCTTGAGATGAAAATTTATTAAAAAGTTGAATTATTTCATTTTGTAAGCTGTTTGTATGAAAGAATACAAATATTCTTCCTTGTTTCCAGTTATTTTGGTTCTTTCTTGTTCTTGTGAATTTTGCTTTTATGGTGTTGTTGCTTCCAACATGCTGTAGATGTGAAAGAACTCATGTTTAGTTGCAGTTTTCAATTAAACTAAACAGTATTTTTACACTAGGACTTTCTGTAGATTGTTGCGTTTCTAGGTATACTTGTGTACAAATTTTATGGAGAAGAACTCAGGGAAATGTTTGGTTACGAAGAGCATCCGTATGGATTCTACACAATGGCAGGTAAATGACTCTTACCTATTGTAACGTCCCAAGATCCTTTTTATTTTCATTATTTTATTCTTTTACAAAAATAGACTCGAGGTGTTACTAAATTTTCTTTATCTAATTTAAGCGAAAATATTACTTTCATCAAGTGTTGAAAATACATAAAAATAGCTAGTAAACAATGTGGACAGAATTCAATATGAAGATGTTCTTCAAATAAAAGTTTGACAATTATATTTTCTAGAAAATTTACTTGCCGACCCCATAAGTGTCACTCGGTCAATCTTCCACGTGTTCACACGGCCCGTTCTAATATGAAATTTTAGTAAGAGTGAATATTTTGAAAACACTCAGTAAGAATACGTACACATTCTTATTCACATGATATAAATATAAAACTGACATAACATACCAACATTTCTTAGATTTAGAGTTCAAGGAATTTCTTAAGAATTTTCATATCCCGTAGGATTTAACATCTTTGACCAAACGGTCCATCCCATAGGATTTAACATCTTTGATCTAATGGTCCATTCCAAAGGATTTAACATAGAATTTGACCTGGAGGCCTTATAGTATTTCATGTCAAATTTATATAAATATCAAGGAATAAGAATTTACTACTTGCATCATGTATTCTTACCTCAATTGACACCCAAAAAAGTGGTTTGAAATGATAATGTGAAAGTGAATAGTGCGTGTCCGTGTTAAAATAAAAATGAAATTATGAAATTCATAAAACACTCTTACCTTACACTCTATATATAATCACTCGCACGTGACCTTCAAGGAATTCAAAAGGTTGGTGACATAATTCAAAATCAATAAGGTTACCTATGACTTAATTAGGTTAATTATTTTGGTAATTATGTTAAATATCTTTTCAAATTCCTACGTGAAAGTTCGTCTCTTTTTTCTTTTTTATTATTTATTTATATTAATAAAATATTAAAGGTTAACACATTTCTTTTTATTAGAATAACTCGGACATGACTAATTCAAAATTTCTTTTTCTTGAGCCCAAATTATATTATTTAATATGAGCTACAAAATGAATATAATATTTCATATATTTCATCAACTTCTAAAATACTTAAATATTCGATCCAAATAACTTACGATAAATTCTAAAAACTCGTTAAGCAAGGTAAATCTTTTATGTGAATAAATGGGTTGAGCTTATCTTTTAACCTTTGGTGTGACGACAAATCTAAACATGAATTATTTCAGTTGCTAAGTGACCCATATTAAGTTTTGACCCATATGAAAAATAGTAAAAAAAAGTTCTGGGTATTACATCCCTTCCCCCTTAAATTAATTTCGTCCTCGAAATTATTTTATTTAATTGAAAAGCTTCGAATACTTTACCTTTATTTCCTTTTCTTTCTAGTGGTTTCATAAGTTCCAGCCACATCTATCACATAAATATTCAATCGTGCGTTATCTTTATTAGTCAACTTATACATTATGCTCTTGGGCTTTTAATATAATGACTAATCATCATATCTTCATGTATATTAAACAATATAATAACTTGCATAACATATTTAATTCTAAACATCATAAGCATTTCGTCAAATCAAGCTTAAATGATTTATAAATCATGCTTGAGAGCAAACTTAAACATAACATTTTATTTATACCTCGGGTTCATCGGACGGTAGTAGATTGACGAGCGCTAATTGCCATGGGTCTTATTTTAATACTTGTTTATGATTTAATTAAAATCTCATCACATATAGAACATTTTTTTTTTAACTACTACGATACATTAAAGGTTTAATTACATGTAGTTTCTATGAGGATATAATTAGTGAATAATCACGTGAAATTTAAATCCTTACAACACATCATTTAAAAAATATATATATATTAAGAAATATTTTTTCCTACCTAAAAGCATATTTCTTCAAATAACTCGTCTTTAACGTAGATAAGGACTAATTTATATCAATAAATATAAAACTGCATTGTTAAACTTGAAATGAAGAGAAACATTGATGCATTATAGTGTCATAATTTTTTTCATGCAGACTACTAAGTCTTCAAAATAAATTATTATTCTAAGAAAAATTTATACATGTAATGATGTAAATCACACTTAAACATGATGAAGAAAATATATATTTTTTAAAAAACGACGAATCTACAGAATCAACTAAACTCGTGCTCTGATACCATTCTATAACGCCTCGAGATCTTTTTCATTTTTAGAACTATTTTTAAATAAAAATAGTTCGAGGTGTTACCAATATCTTCTTTGTCTGATTTAAGCGGAAATATTACTTTCATTAAGTGTTGAAAATGCATAAAAATAACTAGTAAACAATGTGCACAGAATTCAATATGAAGATATTCTTCAAATAAAAGTTTGACAATTATATTTTCTAGAAAATTTACTTGCCGACCCCATAAGCGTCACTCGGTCAATCTTCCACGCGTCCACACGACCCGTTCTAATCTAAAATTTTAGTAAGAGTGAGTATTTTGAAAACACTCGGTAAGAATACGTACACATTCGTATTCACATGATAGAAATATAAAACTGACATAACATACTAACATTTCTTAGATTTAGAGTTCAAGGAATTTCTTAAAAATCCCCATATCTCGTAAGAGTTAACATCTTTGACCAAATGGTCAATCCCGTAAGATTTAACATCTTTGACTTAACAGTCCATCCCGAAGGATTTAACATAGAATTCGACCCGGAGGCCTTATAGTATTTCATGTCAAATTTACATAAATATCAAGAAATAAGAATTTACCACTTGCACCATGTATTCTTACCTCAATTGATATCCAAAAAAAAGTGGTTTAAAATGATAATGTGAAAGTGAATAGTACGTGTGTGTGTTAAAATAAAAATGACATTATGAAATTTATAACACAAAACACTCTCACCTCACACCCTATATATAATCACTCGCATGTAACTTTCAAGGAATTCAAAAGGTTGGTGATATAATTCAAAATCAATAAGGTTACTTATGACTTAATTATGTTAAATATCTTTTCAAATTCCTACGTGAAAGTTCGTCTCTTTTTTCTTTTTCTTTTTTATTATTTATTTATATTAATAAAATATTAAAGGTTAACACATTTCTTTTTATTAAAATAGCTCAGACATGACTAACTCAAAATTTCTTTTTCTTGAGCCCAAATTATGTTATTTAAAATGAGCTACAAAATGAATATAATATTTCATCAACTTCTAAAATACTTAAATATTAGATCCAAATAGCTTACGATAAATTCTAAAAATTCGTAAGCATGGTAAATCTTTTATGCGAATAAGTGGGTTGAGCTTATCTTTTAACCTTTGGACTTTAGTGTGACGATAAATCTAAACATGAATTATTTCATTTGCTAAGTGACCCATATGAAAAATAGTAAAAAAAGTTCGGGGTGTTACACCTATTTTCTATATTATATACTTTTTTTTCATTGTTGACTGTGTACTGATTAGACAATAGTGATTCGTCAGTTGCAACAACATTAGTCTTGAGCATCTCTAGAGATCGTTGGCGTATGACTCTTGTTATATATTAGTAGCATTGAAGCAAGATTAATTTGCTATTAATTGCCTATTGCTGTAATCTGCTTTATGTTTTTCTCTAACTTTGGGATAACTGATTCGTCGGCACGAGAGGATTTCTCATGGGAACTATTGTATATCAGAAGACAACCATGCTCTTCCGGGTCTAATTAAACTAACATATTTGTAAACTTCATCACCTATCTTACAACAAGTCATTGCATTTGGATGATAAGGGAAAGATCAATTTATGGCCAGTGGGCTATTCCAGTCATTGGAAACAGTCTCTACATACCAGCAATGCCACTGAGAATGTGTTAAGTACTTGGTTACAATGCATAAGTGCAGCCGTCTTTCTTACAAAGAGTGCGTATTGATAAAAGATGTTCTAAGACCCCATAAATCAACATGCAAAAAATTTAAAAACCAATTTTTTTTATTTTTTTTTTAAATTTTTGGGAAAAAAAAAACTTTTTAACAAAAAAAAAAAAAAAAAAAAAGGGAACCTTTCCTCTCCCCTCCGTCGACTTGACTTTCTTAATTTGGTATCTTCTATTTTTTTTTTAGCAAGCTAGATTTGTCACTTCACCATCTTGATATATTCCCGCTGTGCAGTTTTAGCAATTGTGTTGGTGGGATTGCTTTATGGATTCTTCATTGCAATAATATGTGGACAGAGGATCAATGAGCGCCACTACCATGTTCTTGCCAAACAAGAACTAACGAAGGTTCAATGTTTCCTATTGACTTCTGGACTATTTACTTGTGGATATGCACTTTTGTGCTTGTGAAAAATAATATGAAGTGAATCAAAATGGGTCATGTCAATCAAAGAAACTTAGCATCTTGTCCCCCTGTTCACCCAAGGCGGTCAATGTTGTTCAAATATTGATCTATTCACTAAAAAGTCTCTTTTCCTTCTTTAACCATTCATGATATATCTACTTACAGGAGTAGAATCTTGTGGTTGATACAAACTTAAATTTAGAAAAGAGGATCTATTTTTCTTTATTGAAATTTTGGTGAAAAAAATTTGTGAGATCTTAAAGCATTACATCTTCTGAGTTGAAATTGATTTTAGTTTTATTTTTTCAGGAATATGTGGTAGAAGATCGAGAAGCTGTTAAAGAAGTGCCTGAACTTGATCCTAGCCATGTAACAGAGCTGAGAATGCTGGGCCTCTATTAAGCCAAGAACTTTTGTCTGCCTAGTAGTCACTTCTGTAAGTGTTGAATGCTGTTTTCTGTCCAATCTATCTATAATTTATACATGTGATTGAAAAATCCAATATTTCGCATCAGTTTTATTTTTTTATTTTTTATTTCCAGTGATGAATATGTGGCACTAGTTGGCCACAGCATTCCTTAGTCCTCACCAGAGAAATTTTAAAGTTTCATGGGTTTTATCTCATAATTTGAGATCAACATCGTATTATCAAAATGAAAAATGAGTGTTTGATTGAAGAGGAGAAAATATTCTGACAATATTATTGCTTCAAGTTTATGTGACGTCAATCCAAAATAAAAATGCGGCTAAGTAAATTTTAACTGGTAGGTATGCAATGATTCACACGCCAAAGGACTTCTCACGTGATTCGTTCATCGTTACGTAGACTTCTGACAAGATATTGTTTAGCTTGCTGTCACGATGCAGATCTAGCTTTGTCAAACAATGTGTGAGATTGACCCCAGGACTCCTCGCTTTTAATTTTTTAGAGTTTTAGTGGATACCATGTGAAGAGAACGCCCAATTCTCGTGCATTTATAGAATTCACGTCGTAGGTTTCACGAAGTTCAGTGGTGGCATATTCGGCCAATAAGCCAATATGGCAACTTGCTAAACCTGTGTGGTTCTTGTGCTCATGATTTTTTCTTGCACGAAGTTGCACCACATGATTCTGCGCGATTCTGTGCTCTACTTATTTTCTACATACTTCTGTGTTCTAGTATTTTAATCTGAGCTGATTTTCCATAAACTTTATGAAATGTGGGGGTAAATGTGCAATTTGGTTACATTAATGTATTTCTAATACCAAAAGTATCCGTTTCCAGGGAGTCCTCCATGTTGCTGTGGATGTATTACAGTTTTGAAAATGGAGATATTGACATGTAAACCTCACAATGACCTGCATTGATACTCATTCCACATATTTAAAAACTGTATTTTTTGTTATTATAGCCTTGATATCTGAATAGAAAAGCCGTCTTTACAAGTCACATTGTATGTTTTTACTTCAAGATTTCGATTGTATAAATTTATTCAATAATTCTGCACGTACAGAATTATTCCAACAAAAGAAAAACAGGATACTCATATAGGGTGGGGCCCATGTGAGTTTCATATTGGAAAAAAACACACCAACCACCCCCTGTATGTGTGTTTGTGTTGAATTTCTGTATAGATTCTGTTCAATAATTCCTGTACTCATAGCAACACTCAAATTTATTTTGTAGTGTTCAAGTGATTCACATTTTGAACTTGTCGAGACGAAAATTGATTGTTAGAACCTTCATCCATCTTCTGCTACAACAAATTTGTCAATGATTTTGCTTCATCCAAGTTCTCCATCTTCTACTATAATTTTGTAGAAGTTTTATTCAAAGACAATGTACTTATTTTTGGAGTCAACAAATTTCATGAACATTTGAAATTCTAAGCTCTCGAATGAAGTTATTCTGAATGACGATTTTACCACTTTCATCAAAAAATTATAGTTGATGGGAGAAGCGTGATTAAATCCTACAATTCATCCCAAATACTATTTGTTTTGGGACTTCCCCTCTAATACTGAGGAAAGGTAATCACTTTTTCTGAAGAGAAAATTAAGCGAAATTATGGTTTTAAAATTTAATAATCATTAATCGTCAGAGCTAAGTTTATTAAAAAATGAAGCGTTAATTATATATTTTATTATGTTAAAAATAGTTGTGAAAACTTTGTTATTGAATAAGGTATGATTTTTTAATTAAAACAGGATTGCTAGGTTAATTAATTTCACCCACAGATTTCAAAATCACAAAATCGTGGAGATAATTAATTTCATTTTACAATCTTCAGCATCATCGTGAAACCCTCAATCGCCGTGGCTTCACTCTAATAATGTTGTCGGACCTGTTGGCACAGTTTCAACATTCACAAGACTCGTCCCACTTAACAGCTATTAAAATTCTTCTATTAATCATAAACCTTAAACAAACCCGGTTCTTCAATGGTGTTGACAAGTTGCGTCGAGCAGATTTCTTGTGAAAGAGTTAGCTGTTATAGAGAGATCATGTCAATCAATAAATCAAGTTTGCAATGACTTGATCGAGGTGTTGCCCATGCCCTGAAAATGTGATGTAGCAGCAGGGTGCCACCTCACTCGAAAGTATCACTTCGGGCGAGGTGTCAAAGGGGTTCGCCCAACTACCTAATTGCCTTAGAGGGCACATGTAAAGAGACAAGGCGAAGCGAAATACAGACCTTGAGGCCATCTCCAACCCTGCACCAAATTTTGCACCATTTTGCACCAAATTTTACATCAAATCTTGCACCAAATTAAAATTCATCTCCAACCATTACACTAAAAGTTATACCAAATGAACATTGTTTAACCATTTTCTTCCCTTTTTATATTCTTTATAATTTATTTATTTGAAATATTATTTATTTAATTATTTTATAAATACATAAATTACTAAATAAATAATTTAAATTACGAAAAAGATTAAATTCATTAATAAATATAAAAAACACGGAACAATTAATAAAAACACTAGAACAACGAAAATATGAAATCAAATTAGATTATCGTATGTATGCCGTTGTTTAATATATTTTGTGTTAACTTTAATAAATAATCGTGTTTGTTGTATTTTAAATTGTTTTCGTTTTTTAATTAATTTATTAATTATTATGTCTTACATTTAAAATTTATTTTAAATGTAAATAATATTAATATTAATATTAATAAAAATTAATAATTTATTGTATTGAAAAATATATAACATAAATGACATAAATAATCTTAACAAATTTATTTAGAAAATGCTAAATAAGGGCAAAAGAAATATTTTACGCTTTGCACCAAAATGGTACAAAGTTTGGTGTTGCATTAGAGCAACTTGACACCAAAAAATTGTGTAAAATGGTGCAATGGTGCAACCATTGGAGATGCCCTAAGTGGCCTCTTGCTTTTGCTTAGCTGACTACCTCGAAGTCCGAGGCGTAACAAAAACTATGGAATCATGAATCCTAGAGCCAAGCATGCCATCCTCGAGTTGAATAGCAATATATTCCAGTCTTTATCCCCATCTTCTTGAGGATCCAAGGCAACGGTGAATCGATTATGATTTCACTTTTCATTACTCGGCAAATCCTCTAAATAAGGAGGCATCACTTTTTCAATACTTGAATGCAATTTCTTTGATATTTCCTGTCATCTTCAAGTTCAAGTCCACCAGGAAGGGACAGTAGCCTGATTTCTGAATCAGCCGTTGCTACGGCCAGTTGAAGCGAAATGCGAATTTGAACCAAATTTGTAATGGGCAGGACAAAACTAAAATGTGCCCGTTAAGTTTCTTCTGAGCATTTCGAGCTTTGACTCATAATGTAAAATGAATAAACCACGGGAGAAGATGAACCCTTCTGTTCGATAGTTCGTATTTATAGAAAGGAACCTAAACTTTCTGGAAAATCACAAACTCGTTCACTCCTTAAGCCACTCAACTTCTAAATTTCAGTGGTGGCTCATTTACTTAAAGGTTGAACCCCAATTTTGAGGGCCCCCATCGTTCCGTCCCTAGAGTTTTGTAAGGGAGGTAAATCGCGGGATATGCCCCAACAGACCAAGGAACAATAGCTGTCGCCTACAAAAAATTCAATTCCATGTCTCAGAAATCGAACCTTCACACTACGACTGTCAACAAGGCGTGAGATTACCTCATTCCTGTCTTTTACACCACTGGACTATGCCCCGAGAGCGGTGGCTCATTTACTTTTTGTTATGTATGGTAAGTCCTTTCAAAAGCCGATAGGTTCTTGCCAATACCAACATCCAATATGAAACTAAAAGACCATACAAAATAAAAATGCAAAACAAAAGGCTATGAGGCGCAAGCGATGTGATTTGAAGAATTTGAAAGTCCAGGATTCTTTGAGATTTTGATATTTCATAGAGGTTTTATTTAAATTAGAGGTGTAAGCGGTCCGATTTTATCAATTTTTGACAGATTTTCAAACCAAATCTTTAAACCGGTTTGAGAAAAACCCAAACCTAAACCAAATCATTTTGAACGGTTTGAAAAAATTTCAAACCTAAATCTAACGGTTTGGTCTGGTTTTAAACCGTCGATTTCGCCATATATTTTTTTGCCCCTCTACTTTTATGTCATTAATTTATTGAATTCAATATATATTTATATCTTACTAGCAATAAATCTAAAACAGACTAAGCCCCTGTTTGAACCAAATATTTTGGACGAAAAATGAAAATTTGGACGTCATCCCACAAGTCTAAACGCCTTTGTTGACCTGTTGTTTCATGTGTGGGATCCAGCCTCCTCTCCAACGGTCAATTTTCTCATTATAATGATATAAAAAATATGGCTCAAACAGGGGCTAAATATATCTACTATAAATTTAAATACCAACTAAATCAAAGTGAAATCACAATAAACTAAAACATAATTTTTTTTCACATTTTTTAGACTAATGACGATACAATAACATTACAATACAAGTTCACTAAACTAGATATATGGCCCAAAAAACATAATGATATCCAACAAGATCCCGTGATCATTATATCTGAAAAAAAGGGATACTGATTAGACAAAGAGAATAACTAATTACAATAATAAAGCAATTTTTTATAATATCTAAGCATAACAATTACACAAATTTATGTTTGTATGATGTTACGAAACGCATTTACTTTCAGATTTTTACCTTAGCTTGCTCCAAAAAAAATTATTGATCTGAAACTTTATTTGTAGCAAATATTATCACCGAAAGTCTAGGATCTTTTTATCTCCGATTTGGTATAATGGACTTCAATGCAACTTTGAAGAGACGTGAAAAAATCTGAAAAAGAAATGTGTAGTGCCGGTGGCTCAAGATTGTGTTGGGTGTCGGCTGAAATTCATCTAAATTTTGAAGAGGAAAATGGCATTTGATAGATTATGTTATTCTTGATATTATTAGATATAAATTAGGATTATTGGATAATAATAATATATCTGTATTGGAAAATTAAAAATTGACAAAAATACCCACAAATGACAATTTTTGAATTTTACATATTTGGATGAATTTTCAAAAAATTTAATTTTTTCATTTTTATATTTTTTTTTCATTGGTCCGATTTGATTTTAAACCACAATTAAAATTCCCAAACCTAAATCAAACCATTTTGATCGATTTGGTTTGGGTCAAAACCATTTCGTTGACCCGGTCCACGTGGCACCAAACCGACGATTTCTAAAATGCGACTTCAGTTCGATTTTTCGATTTGACGGTTTTTGCTTACAACCTTAATTTAAACCACCACATGCATAACAGTTGACAGATAATGAAGGTTGTCCAACTCTTCTGGTTAGACAAACTTTGGAAAGAGACTTCATTAGGGAAATGGGTTTGATCGTTTACCACCAAATGGTTGGTAATGTTCAAGATTCAGTCAATTTCATCTTCATATTAAACAAATGAAAGGAGTTGCTTTGAGAAAAATCTTCAAATGATAGGACTAAGATGGTCTTTATAAACAGATATATTGCACTTTCAGTATCAGTTAACATAAATTTACTAACAACTGATCACTTTAAGCTCTAGTGCAAGTCAATCTAGAAAGGTTCGAGCTCGAGTGGCAAGAATTAATCGAACTAATTGCAAAAGGAAAGTCATCTTTCAAATTTTCACGTTAGCTAAAAATAACATGTAATAGAAGGACGTCAAAACTAACTATAATTCTACATGTCCAATCTTAACAATGAGAGATGCAATTAGAGTCATTACAAGCCACTTAGCTTTTATGGAACTGACACCCACAATAGCCCCTGTTCCTATTTAGGTAACTTTACGTAACCAATCTCTTCATATCATCCCTTTCACAACGGGGATTATATCCAAAAGGGTCGTTGCTCTAATATCAAATCGCCAGAAGGAGATGGTGCCCAAGTAGTAAGACAAATCTTAACTTATCGATGTGTAATGCAAAAAAGAGTAATTACAAGTTGATATACATCATCATTTGCTAAGTAATCAGGACAATTCTATACACAGTCAAGGTTCAATCTGTTTACTGATCATTGTAAGAACATCCCTCCTAAAGTAATTTTCACTCTTAAGATTTCTCCTGTCTGGTTTTTCAAAAGAATGTAAAGATATTTTATCCTACTCGAGTCTATCAGAGACAATGTGGTCATGTTTCAAATAAAACAGCACTGCTCAACCATCTTTAATAAGAACAAACAACAATAGCCAATTCAATAAAAACCAATTGTATAAAAGGCAAAAAAGAAAATGAACAGAAAACAAATGTAGTTAACGTATTAAAAGCTAATTCAAAGTACACCAGTTTCGCAGTACAACATTGACATGCAGAACTGGACACTTTTTCAGTCCAGTATCGACTTGAATTTGTCTGCCTCTCGAATCAATCTCAGTTAAAATTCTCCTTGATAAAAAAGAGCCCCTTAAAATAATTTAAATCACACCAAGTAAGGGTAAATTTGATGCAGAATCACTTAAAACGTTCATTCAGTACTAAACGAACTTTAATATTCTCTATCTTCCCGTCTTAGCAGGAAAAGGTCGGGGATGATGTTTTGCTGAAAGAGATAAAAGTGCTCCAATCGCAGCAGCAATTCCAACTCCGATGACAAGTGAAGGCATATGAAGATTCGATTGGTTTTTGTTCTGCATAATTTCCCACTGCAACTTAACATCGTCAGGGTGCCATAGACTCAAGTGCACTGCTAGTATCATCCTCAAATCAGAATCAAGGGGCGCCCGAATTACATTCAAACACACAGGACAAGAAACCTTCGAATGTTCTCCGTCCTTCTTTACAGTAACTCTACCTGCCACTGCTATTGCTTTATCCCGCAAAGTTTTCTGAGAAGTGGGTTGAGAAAACTAAGGGAAAAATTGATTACAAGATTAAGTACAGAGCCAAATCCAATAATATTACAATGCAACAGCTGCAAAATCACGGTGGGAATCCAATCCAATAAGCAAGAAAAGATCAAGAAAACTAGTTCACCTTTAACAGATTACAAAACTGTATCCATTTTAATCCCAGAAGCCTCCTCATGTTCATTCTTTCCGTTTTACTTGACTGGAAAAGTAGCTCTGTACCCTGCTCATGTGTTAATACTGAAACATTACACCCCATAAGTTAATGCTTAAAAACGATGTTAAGTGGCTTCATAACCCGGTGGCTAGATATAAATTTCAACCTTACATTTTTCCCAAATAGATTCTTATAAAGCATAGCAAATCAAGAAGCAGATTACAAGATTGCAAATTATACAACAGATTCTTATAGATGTATACAGAATTAAACGGGTCAATTAATGAGTAAAGCACATTGTATAAATCCCAGTTCGCTGAAATCTGCATAAAATTCTACTATCGAACTTGGGAATTTAGGTAGCAATAACATTCCTAGTTCACTCATTTATCACCAAATTTCCTATAGTTTAAAAAAAAAAAAAAAGGGATCAAATTTGCAGTCACTAACTACATATAATTCGTTAATCAAAACAATGTGGGAAAGGCAAATCCATGAATTATAACTAAATCAAAAAATTGTAGAATCATGAAGTTTCTAAATTAAGCAAGTACATGTAGTCGGTTTTGCACAAACAATTCTTTTACGACTTACAGATGGATGAACACGAAGAAAGGCGTGAAAGGAATAGCCTCAGTGGACAGAAAGCAGCGGAATTAATGGAAAAGGAAAAGGAAAGGGAAAAGGAGCGTGCTTTATATATGTGTATATTTCAAAATAATAAATTAATAGCAAATTCAGATAATTACATATTCGTCCATAAACCCTTTTTCCACCATTCCCATTGTGGGTTTAGTGAAAGAAAAAGCAGAAAAAAAAAAATTAAAATGGAACTTACCCACAAAGAAAAGAGAAGCAAACATTTTATGCCTATGTATGTATATACAGTGAGACTGTGCCGAGATCGAGAAAGAGAGTCAATTGGATTTGGTAATGGGTTATCTGCATTTTAGTTCTAAGGACAAAACATTCGACAGCGAATCTTTCTTTTAATGCTCTTTAATTTTTCATATTTTAGTATGTCGTTGGCAGTACGTTTCTGCTAAGTTTCCATTGCCAGTCCTTTTCTTCAAATCACTATGCTCAAAATCAAATTCAGATAACCCTATCAAGCTTATTCTCTTGAGCCCACTTTTATTTCAAACATTTTCCTTCATTAAAACGATAGCATTTCATACTTATCAATCTCGACTTGATCAAGTTGTTTTGACCAAATCAAATATAAGCCTCCGTGAAAGAAAAGGGCGGAAGTTCTCGTGGTGTCACTCAGTTGTTTCTTCCTAAGGGTGTCAATTATTGCTTGCTCTTCTTCGCTTATCTTGTAATACAGCAATACGCTGTGGCTCCATTCTAAAATGCCAAAATACTTCAACTCGTCGATTGGCAAAGTTCAATTAGTAAAAGTTGAAACAAAAAGTTTATACAAACTATCACTACAATACCTTTTTCTAGAATAATGCACACGGAGCTCTTAAGTCATCTTTGGTATTCATTTTTGTAAGAATGAGAATGAAAAATATAATCGTTATGAGACATATACAAGAAATAGAAAATCAAATATGGTAACTTGATGTACTGAATAACAATCATGTTTTTCATTTTTGTAGCAAAAAAATGAAAATCAAACGGGCCTAACATTTAAAACAAGGAATCTATCATTTCAAACAAGCAAACACAAATAATTGATTGGGAATGAATCAACTACAATCGAGTTCAAATTTGCTATCTCCAATTGGTTTGCCTCCTCAAATTTTCTCACCTCAATACCGTTAGTAATTAACAAGATGTTACGTCAAAAGGGACATTACTTTTGGCATACATTGAGGGTGTTTAGTGAATATTTAAATTAAAATTTTAGTAAATCTTAATAGAATTTTTTGAAATGTGTGATTGAAAAATTCTAAAACTCATGAAAGATGTTATTAATATTAACTGTTTAATTTTGACTTAGATTAAAATCAAATTTTAATCCGAACCAAATAGGGACTTAGTGACATCATGCTAACATGAGTCAAATATCAACATTTTTCATCAAAAACTTACCGCACTAAAAGAGAGAGAACACAGGTATTACCCCCATTCATAGGTCCGAGATCTACATCTATGAATTGAAAGGTTTGAATGAACCTCCCTAATTTTTAGTTGATGATACCTTGAACACAAATCAATCTTAGAAAATACAATAGTACATCGAAGTTGGTCAAACAAATCATCAATGAGAGANATAACTATAGGTGGAAAGCCAGTCGACCATGAAACCACAAAAAATAAATCAATTAATCATTATAGTGAGAGACATTGTACTCCATCAGGAACACTTCTAGGCATTGGAAGTGCAGTAACGTATCTCAGAGGGCCAGTTTTCTGGGTACCTGCCATAACATCGCTCATCGATGTTGTCTCCATATTATCAGTTTGTCCCCGACCATGGAACTTAGCAAATCTATTGATGATAGAAAACTTCTCCAGATCTTGACATTCGACTTTCAAGTTCAGTATTGATGAACAATTATCCAGGCTGTAACATGGCAAAACAGCATTTGAGAACAACAAAGAATTAACGTTTGCACAGGTATGATGCATCTAGAGATGCGCTACAGCAAATTAAAGAATGATATAAGATACATCATTATGAGAACAGGTTAAAGAATACACTAGAATTGTTTGACAAAACTTAAGATAAAAATAATAAAAAAAAAAAAAATTAGCATATTTTGACGAAAGTTGATGAAACCATTGAAGTATGGTTGAAAATAAAAGTTTTAGGTCTCATGAAATTTGTAGTTAAAATTATTTGCCATCTTTGACCTTAACTTTTTAGGAATTTATTAAGCTATTTCAAATAAGCAGAGTCTTTTCTTGAAGGTTGTGTTTGCCAACTGATTCTCAGGAATAAGGTCACCATTCTTGAATACCTGCCTCCTGTGAAGCACAAACATATCCATGTCAGACAACCATCATGTTGGATTGGACACCGCCATTCTCTGGACACTCTTAAGACCTATATGGCCAATATACCATGTGGCATGTTCTACGTTTTATACTAGTTCAACTTGAAGCTGTTCTAATATAATAAATAGCCACTCATCCGAGTTAAAAGATTTCACTTAAAAAAATCAAAACTCGAAAAAGCATTGATTTTATTAAATTTTAAAGAATTTAAGTTAATGTATCCCAAACATGTCCGTGTCCTTCTTTTTCAGAAAATTACATAAAGAGACTTGTCCATGTCCGTGACCGTGCTTCTTATCCAGCCTCTTACACTCACTTTATTTCCACAAGTTAATAAGACATGTTCGACGTGCAGAATTAAAAGAAAAAATGTCAATTGCCAAAAATTTTGTATCAAATAATCTTCCAAATAATATATCAATCCAGACATCGAATGGCAAATCCAGATTCCATTCTGTAGTCATTTCCAATTCAGTTCCTAACTTCATTTTCTTTCCACTGGAACCATTTCTTGCTAACCAAAGACTGCCCAATTGAAGTTCTACAAATCTACAAGCCAATGTAGGTGGAATCCTACTAGCACTGAGTGGATTCTCAGATCTAAATGCAAATCCTGTATCTCTACACGCTCTAGGAAGATGCCCTTTAAGCTACTTTCAATATAAACAAGACAGGGCAGTCTCATTCTTCAGACATCTATCTCCAGTTTCTTTGAAAGATTTAGGGCAATTACCCTGAGATTCTAGCAGAAAATCAAAAGGCAGGCATCTGCATTTTAATGTAGAAGGAATGACTATATTAAGTTTTATAGTATAACTCAAAGGGCATGCATATTCATTTGCCTCAATACATGTACTAAAATAAAACCAGGAATGAAAAATTAGAAAAACTTCATCTCAGAATTTAAGAGTGCTTGAGTTTCTTAACAAGGCGAACATTGAAATATATGACATCTAGAACAAGCATAGTACAGAAGCAGGGTTGCAGTTCCATAATTTCAATGACTCATTTTCACATATCCTACACCCAAGGACTGAAGGCTGACTACAATATCCAATTAACTTTTACCCTCTAGATATAATTTATGTAATGATATTTTGCTACTTACATGGATTATCTCAACTCAACAAAGCCTTATCCTGTACTTATCTACAGTTGGTACATTGATCCTCCTTTTCCACTCAATCAATAGTTCCTACTTCCATGGCTCACAAGCAAAACTAAGCACTTGTTTGATTCCCTTTAAAATTTTAATAGACGTTTCTCTCTTCTTTTCAACCACATATTCTTGGATAAAATAATAGTACTCATAAATCAAAAACTTTTCCTTCTTTTTTAACCACACATTCTCCCAAAAACTACTATTCCAAAATACATTTTATCCAAATTTCTCATTATAATGGTTGTCAAACAGGGGCTAAGATCTAATAAACAATTTGAAAATTAGATGAAGTCACACAGTTATAAGCCCCATCATAGTTGGAACAAATGATCAAGATAAAGATGAAAATATGTACCTCAAGAATTCATTTTCTAGCTTCCTCATTCTACCCATCAATTCTTCAATAACTTCTGCAAAATGCTTATCGCCATTCTTGCTTGATGGCGTGCCCTCAGCAGCAAGCCTACAACATAATTTATTTATTGAGATTGTCATCAAAACTGAAAAATAATCGTATGCAACTACTACAAATTCCAAAAGATCAAATCCTTGACATGATAAAACAATTTCAACAAATATTGAGTAGCTCTTACAAGTTTATTCCATTACAAGCCATATTTGAATTAATTGAGCAAGAAACTGCACTGCACGCATCACCTAGTGCCATTCTAGAGACAGAGTAAGCCACACTATCATAATTTAAACTGGCATCAGCAGAGAAAACTGCAGCGGATGGAGGGCGAAACAGCCGCTGCATAAGCTGTGTTGTCATGACCAGCCTTCTTTTTGATCTATGAATAGGTGGTCCATCTTCAATGAATTCAACATCATCTTCAACCTAACCCCAGATAAGAAGACAATGAACATAGCAAACCCAACAAAAATAAAAATAAAAAAATAAAACAATTGAGTATATGAACAAGGAAGAGCACAGTTAGCAATCCCAATATACCTTTTCAGTTAGACAATTTGCTGCTTTTGCCCATTCTACTGCTGCTAAGCTGAAAACAGTAAAATTCATGACATTAGAAGCAAAATGTTAAGTGGATTAGAGAGATATTTGAACGCCACAAGAATCACATTCTTCCTAAGAACAGGAGAGAGTAACAGAAAAATCATTGGAAGAGGATAACACAGAAAAAAAAATATTTGTCATAACCACCTGTGAATCTGAAGGTTCTGTGAACCCTGTGATATTTCTTTGTGCCAAGGGTGAAGTTTAGAAGTATCATTCTTCTGCTTATTGGGCCCAGTTGCTACTGATGTGGGTGCAGAATTAAAGATGCGACCAACTTGACATGTATTAACAGCATTGGTAGTTCCGTGCTCCATCAGACTAAGTGCATGAAAATTACCGGAAGACTTTGAAAGAGGAAAAGATGGTTCTGCAGTTCTGAAAGAGGTGACTGTGTGTGGCATTTGCCCATTTTTAAAAGTTCCATACTGATGACATTAGAAGCAAAATGTTAAGTGGATTAGAGAGATATTTGAACGCCACAAGAATCACATTCTTCATAAGAACAGGAGAGAGTAACAGAAAAATCATTAGAAGAGGATAACACAGAAAAAAAATATTTGTCATAACCACCTGTGAATCTGAAGGTTCTGTGAACCCTGTGATATTTCTTTGTGCCAAGGGTGAAGTTTAGAAGTATCATTCTTCTGCTTATTGGGCCCAGTTGCTACTGATGTGGGTGCAGAATTAAAGATGCGACCAACTTGACATGTATTAACAGCATCGGTAGTTCCGTGCTCCATCAGACTAAGTGCATGAAAATTACCGGAAGATTTTGAAAGAGGAAAAGATGGTTCTGCAGTTCTGAAAGAGGTGACTGTGTGTGGCATTTGCCCATTTTTAAAAGTTCCATACTGATTAAACCAGGATGGAGCCGTCTGAGGACTAACATGAGGTTGCTCAACTCTAGTATCACTAAGATAGTTGCTTTGTGAAACATCTGGACCAAAACCAAGTTTTGTAGCTATATTTCCATGTTGAGAAGATATGTTACTTTCCAAAAAGTCAGCTGGCTTGGAAAAGCTTAGAATCCCTCCATCTCCAGAAGAAACTGTAGTACTAGAACCTAATGAATCTACAAGAAAAGTACCATGTTCATTTGACTGCCTTGTGTTCAAAGCTACTTGATGAACAGTCAGACCATTATCTGGTCCTTTTATTTTCTTTGAGACCCTATTGTTTGGATCAGTCTCCGCATCCTTCATGGCCCGCTTTTGATTTAGCAAGGAGAAATTTTGATGAGAGAAACTATTTGGCTTCAAAGATTGACCAAAGGCTTCAATATCCTTTTGTGTTGAAGCAGAATTTGCAGGAGAATCATCAGACAGATGGTTGATGGAGGCAGATTTTCCAAGTTGTTGATTAAAACGTTCTTTCAACGTTTCCTCTTCCCCACTGACACATCGGGAGTTTGTAGGAATTGCACCAAACTCAGATGGGAAATTCCTTTCTTTTCTCACATCATGATCACCTTGAGCCAGTGGGATGGAAGTGCTTGATTCCACAATATTTGGCAGGGGAGACTGAAAAAAATTTGATGACACCGTGTGATACGGAGCACCCAAAGTATTTTTGTTTGTAGGAACATTGGCCCACATATTATGCAGCAGTTGTGCAGCAGCACCATGTTGAAAAATGTCAGACCTGGAAAAAGGCTGAGAAGCCGGCACGTGATCATTGGCTGACATCATTGCAGCTTTCCCTCTTTCTCGTGGATCATTAGTGCCAGTTCGTTGTGACATACCCTCCAATGAAGCCAAATTATCATGTGCAACACTGCCAGATACATCAGGTGAAAAGGCCTCCGCAGACCCTTTTAGGATAGACTGTGAAGCATTATTCTTTGACGACAAATCAATAGGTTGAGATCTCTGTCCTTGTGTCCTAGTTATCTGTTGATTTTGAAAATGACTTCCTGGATAGGGAAAACTGGAATTGAGAGCAGAAGAAAAATTTGCAGGTATCTTATACAGAGAGGCTTCAGTTCCATATTGTCTCGGAGATCCAGATTTGTTATTTTCAAATTCAACCAGGGATTGTTCATTAGAAAGAGGAAAAGATTGAACTGAGGGTGTTGAAGCCATATTATGGTCCTTCTCTCCAATTTCTCCAGCAGTACGACTAAAATGCAAAGAGTTAAAAGCATGTTGAGCATTCTGAGAAGACAACAAACGGTCAGGTTTATGAATGCGTTGAGATGGGGGACCAAGTTGTAATCCAAAACCTGGAGAGACAGAAGATTGAGTATTTTGAAGGCGGCCAACTAGCCCATCCCAGTTTTCTGCTTCAGGCAGTTGAGATGGTCCACTACCATTTGAAGAATCAAAGTGCCTCACAATACCTTGATCCCTCGATTGATCCACCTTGTGAAGAAGATCCAGCATGTTTTGACTGGATAGAATAAAAAAGTCAAAGAAAAGCTAATGCTGCAAAAATTCCACAAACATACACGAATAATGAACTACCTTGATGGAGAAGCCTTGTTTGATGTGTGTGTATCAACTGATCTGCCATAGCCAGACTGATTCTCAAGGGATGGCCCCTCATCAGGGTTTTTACCGTCTATTTGAAGATCAGAAGACTGCCCCTGTAATTTAAAAAGTATGAAGAGTTTTGGACTTATCGGCGACAGGTGTTTATTCATATATGTTATATATAGTTACAACTCACCTTTTCCACTACTATAGAATTCTTTGGAACCTGACCCAGAAACTTTGACAGCTCAAAGTCGTTATTTTGTGAGGACATTCGCTGTACATGGGTAGGTTGCTTGAAACCATAGGAAGGTTCGATATCCTCATCCAGGTTTCCCATGGGATGATACTGGAACTTGTGAGTACCAGAAACTTTATGGCCACGCTCAGTGATTGACTTTTGTTTCCCTGGGGCCAGAGATTGTGAATCACTAGCATCTGACATCCCACGTCCCATGAAACCAGCAGAAGTGTGCTGAGATAAGTTAGACTGACGGCTGTCATTAGAATTATCCATCAGATCATAATTCTTCGTCTCATGTCTTGCAATTTCCTCCTTATTGCCTTCGTTAACCTGGTGCAGCATTCTCCCCAAGCCGTCACCCCCTGGGGATTTAACCAAAGAGTTGGCATTCTTCTGTTGTTGAAATAAATAATTATTTTGAACAAATGGACTGGTTTCTTCATCAACCCTTGTGGTTACTGAGTTAGGTACTAAAGCAGCATCATTCAAACTCCAACCTCCTTTATTTACTTGAGGACTACCCAATTCAACAGTTGAACTTGGAGCAGAATTTAACGTCCATGAAGAACGTCTATAATCCGCTGCTTCATGTATCGCCTTTATTGGATTGCTTTGAGAATTTTGTGACAAGTTTCCAATCTCACGGTCATTTACCACCCGATCTCCACCATAAGAGAGAGCTGATGAATTATTACAATTGTTTGGCAGTTGTCCAGCTCCACTGTGCTCATGGACCAAAGGAGTAGAAATGCTCTTAGCATTTTTCTCTACATCAAGAGAAGGTTGTGAGGCATTCCTATACATCTGACTCCCTTCAGCAACTCTTTGTAGTGAACTGCTACCCGACCACTTGCCTTCTTCCTCCAAGGAAACAGGCCTTTGAGACTTCTCAGGCTGCAGTCTTTGACGAGGTCCACCTTGAAACTTGGGTCCAAAATGATTGAATCCCATAAAATTCTGGTATTGGTTGTTAGTATTGGTGGCATCACAAGGAGCAGCAGATCCAGAACTCATAGTTGAAGGCAGTCGCACATTGTCACCCACCAAAGAT